GAAGAAAATAAATAGGAAAATGAGAAAAAAAAGAAGAAAAGAGTGAAAATAAATGAAGAAAGAAGACGGCAAAAAATTAAAATAAGTATTGAAAGAAGGAGAAAAAGAAGCGGTAAAAAAACAAGAATGGAAATTAATGGGAAGGGAGAAGAAGCAAAAGAAGAAGAGAGGGGTGAAAATAAATGGAAAAAGAAGGCGACAAAATGAATAAAAATAAGTGGAAAAGAAGGAGAAAAAGAAAAGACCAAAAAGAAGAAAAGAATGAAAATAAGTGAAAAGTGAAAAGAAAAAGAAATGGAGGGGAATGAATACGAGGTAGAAAGTTAAAGAAAAGGAAAAAACAATGACAATATAAGGAGCAAGAAAAAGAAACAGTACTTTCTTAGTGTTGACGACAGCAGTTCTTTCGGCAATGGCGTCGACGTTGTTGATGAGGACGAAGGCGTCGCCTTTGTTGGCACGGAAACTGCTCAATTAACAACGCTATGACATTTCATTAGCGCTGTTACGTGCTGGGTTACTGGTTGGATCACTGGACTTGACAGGTATGGCGCTCACCCCAACACCTTTCCTCCTCCCTTCTTATCAGCTGACCACCGTCACTCGGAGGTGCAGCTGAGAAATGAAGACATCGCTTCAAATGGATCGGGCGTAACATTGAAGCCGTCAGCCACTTTACCTGCTTTGCGCAGGCTGATAGGTGATCATGTTTTTATAACAAATACCCGTACAATCATTCTCTCTAAAACACACACACACATATATATATATATATATATATATATGAGAGAATATGACATAAAAATTCTATATATCAGACTAATGGATAATTGAATGACAAAATCTTATATGATGAGTTTCATTCTTCAAAAAGATTCCTTTTTATCGAATGTTTGTTTTTAGCAATTTCGGATAGTCAAAAAAAAAAAATCACTGATAAAAAAATCAAAAAAAATCAGACGCAAGTTGAATGAGATTTTGCATCTGGACACATCGGGGCCAGAAATTTTAAGTTTAAATTCAAATATTTTATCAGGGATACAAAATTTTCCTAGACCATTAAAATGAATCATATAAACAGCAATTTATAAAGAAAAGAGCTGTAACAAAAATATATATTATCGTAAATTTGTAATACCGAAATATAATGTTAAAAAAAGCTAAACCGTTTTATCGGTCTTTTCTCATCAGAGCAAAAGTTGAGGGGGAAAAGTGCACAGCAACTAAGTAATATGCAAACCGGTACTAATGCTACATGCAACCAACAAAATATAACATTAAAGTCATTTGAAAGAGAACAAATATACATACATTTTACCACCATATATTTTTTATAATCAATTCACTCCAAGAAAGGTAATAAAGCCATTAGAACACAAGAGGTTACTGAGTGTTAGAAAATATGAGAAAGACTATTAAGGAGAGAGAACAATAAAAGAATAAGAATCCACCAAATCACCCCTGCTTATAGAGGGATGGTTGGTCGGACTTAATACATACTGATTCCAAAGCATTTAAGTGATAATCGATATTAGCCTAACTAAGCACACTGCTGGTTTTTAATGAAATGTTCAGCTATCGTCGAACCTGATACATTAACGTATCGATATAGCTTGTTCACCTTTCTCTTGCGAATACTGGTTACCTGCTATGTTTTCCGTGCCTCCAAATGTTGACACGTTCTACCTACATAGTAGTGACATCTGAATTTGTAAATTACACAACTAATATGATGAGTAGGCAGAACATCCTTCCGTATCGATCTCAACATAGGTCGGGCACCAAAAACAAAACTTGGATTGGCAAAAAAATAGCAGCTTCATACAATGACTGAAATTTGCTTGGCAAAACTGTCACCCATCTCACCAATCTACGATAAACGCAGATAAACAGGACGTATCTGTTGACTAGGCTTATGTAATTGTCGCATTTTTTTCTACAAAGCTGAACTCTACAATATCTAACGGATAACCATTTTCACTCAGAACCTTCCAAATAAATTCAATTTCAGAATCTAATTTTGTATTCGAGCCATATATGATCAAAGTCCGATAAACCGATCAATTTGATTTTCAGCTGTTTAGAACATAAGCAATGTAATCGGGCATATAAACCCGCGAAGGTTGGTTTCCGGTACACTGATCTAAGAAAAACTGGATTATTTTTAAGTTAAGCGTCTTCGAATTTGCAGCGTTTCTCTTGATGCATAACCATCGCTTGTTTGTATTTCGTTCCCTCCCCCTAAATATATATGATAGCATCGATAAAAACATTTAGTCTGAAGAAGTCGTTTGAAAGGAAAACATACATAAATTTTCCCACCATATTTTTTAATCATTTCACTTCAAGTAAGGCAATAAAGCCACCAGGACGCAATAGGTTACTGATTGTTACAGAACCCGAGGAAAACTACTGTTAAGGAGAGAGGACAATAAAAGAATAAGAATTGAGAAGATAGAAGTTAACGATTGACATCGCACTTAAATGTTTGAAGATCAAAGTTGACTAGGAAGCAAAAAGCCAGAAGAGAATTCCACAGGCAAGAAGTTTGATAGAAGGAAAGATTAGCATAGAATTCTGGTTATATCTACGGAATTCAACAATAAATTCATAGGACCTTGCTGCTAATCTAGTACTGTGCTTAAGTTCATAAAGTCTAGGTGCTATAGATGAAAGTTCATCAGAGTAATTACCATTAAAGTATTTATAGATAAAGCACAGTGAATCCACGTTACGAAGGTTGGAAATTTTACTGAAACCGTAATGTCAGGTCAGGAACAATAAAACTGCAGATTTCTCTTTAGATTTTATCAAGAATCTCTAAATATATAGCAGACGCACCAGATCAGATGTGACAGAAATATTCAAAGTAAGAACGAATAATAGACTTATAAATATGTAAGATAGATTATGATAAGAAAAAAATCTCGAGCACGACATAGCGAATCTATTCTCTTAACTGTTGACTTAGCAATTGATTCAATATACTCTTTCCACTTCATGTCAGCTGAAAACGTTAGTCTGAGAAGGCAAAATGAGTAACTCTCCTGAAGGTTAGCATCCGTCATTCTGATTGAAGATAAAAAGGGTTCTCTCAGATGATAAAAGACAGCAGTTTCGTTTTTCAGGCGTTAAAATTAACAAGTCACTCTTTGACCCATTTACCGACAAAAAGCAGGTCATTTTTTTTTATAGATCAGCTGCCATTATGACCTTATCGAACCGATCAAACTTACTATTAAGACAGGAGTAAATAGTTGTATCATCATCAGAGATATCGAATTGAGAACTGATGACGTCAGGAAGGTCATTAATGAAAATTAGAAACAACGTAGATGCAAGGATAGAGCCCCGAGGGACGCCAACATTTATGCAAAAAGATCTAGAAGAATGGCCATTCAAGATAACTTTCATATTGCAATTTGATAAGAAAGACTGAATCAGTTCAAAAATTCGTCCAGAAATGTCATAACCTTTCCACTTGTGAAGAAGACCAGTATGTCAAATCCTATCGAATATTTTTGAAATATTCAAAGCAACAGCCCGAGCTTTACAGTGCTTATCTAAAGTTTGATACACTTCAGAAATAGCCATCAACACATCAGTAGTTGACCTAGAGAAGTGAAAGATATATTGCTTATCTGAAAGAAGATCCTGCGATATGAGATGCTTAAGAAATTCGGAGTTAATTAGAGTATCTAGTACTTTGCTAAAGAGAGGTAGAAGGCTAACAGTCTGATAGATAGAGGAGTCAGATGATTCGTCTGAGTTCTTAAAGAACTACAGAAGAGGATTTCCAACAAGCAGGAAACCAAGAAGCAATAAGGCAATTACTGTAGAGTTTAGAAAGAATAGGAGACAGTTAAGGAGCACATTTCTTAAGGACTATTACAGGTAAGTCTACAAGTTTTGCCCAAATCCTGTTTAGAAATGATAGCAGAGACCATAGACGGTGTTATATGCATATACACTCAATAGAGACTCAGTTCTAAGTGGAAAGTCAGGCAAAGTTACTCCAGACGAGTCAAGAGTAGAATTTAAAGAGAATTTACAAACAAAACATTCTGCTTCATTAACAGCTCAAATTGAATGAAGAGAGGAATGATAGAAGATTTACTCTTATTCAACACACTATTACAGAGCCGCTGGTAGTCACGAGAACCAAATTAGTTAGAGACTATAAGGTACCTCGTTCTATCAGCAAACAAAACCTTAGCCTCTTTGAGGACACGTTTAAAAATTATTTCGAGTGGTCATAAATAAGCGTCTGTTGTGATCGTAATAACCCTGTCGGGATTACATAACCAAATTTATTATATACTTTCAACATGGAGAACGGATGGATAAAAGTGATTCTTTCATCTATTTTCTAGCCATTCTGAAGGATTTCCATATGAAAACTCGGACATTTAAGGCGGAGAATATAAAATGTTAAACGACACACACACATATATATATATATATATAGAGAGAGAGAGAGAGAGAGAGAGTGTGTGTGTGTGTGTGTGTGTGTTATGGAGTGGTTTCACAGTGGAGGCTTGTATTTGTACTAAGTCGGTCCTAAAATAGGTTCGACTTACAAAACGTTAGGAATTTGATATAATAGGTAATGACGCAGAGAAATCTAGTTGTGGTCGCTGATACTTTAGTATCCAACTCACGGTCGTCCAGCATCGACTGACGATATTCAGTCACCGCTCCCCGCAAGGGCGTCATGTGGCACAAGGCCTTTTTAACGTGGGATCTCCGAGCCCGTGGGCTCGGCTAAAAATATGCCCATTGAACCCGTATAAACGGGTTCAGAGTCGGTTTACCTCCCCGAAAGAGAATCCGCCCTTCGCCGTAGTCTCCTTCGGGTTCCTCCCTGCCCGAAGGCAGAGAGTTCAACTGATCAGCCGGTCGAACGACATCGACTGACTGATCGAACCACTGAGCGACTCCTACTACTCCTACTTATTATAGGTGGGAGAGTCTATTAACTATAGAATAGGTGTGTTCCACTATAACAGATAGATAGATAGATAGATAGATAGATAGATAGATAGATAGATAGATATGGACAGAGATAGATAGGCATGACCTGTGTGAGATAGATAGATACAATATGGACATGACTCGACTAAGATAGATATATATATAGACATGGCCAAACTCAAATAGATAGATACCTATATAGACATGACCAGATTGAAATAGATAGATACTCTATATAGACATGACCACCTATATATATATATATAAGGTTGTAGCCTCTGTCTGTCTGTTTGTTATCAAACTCCTAATGTTTCGTAGATAAACCCCCATAACCATATATATTCTGAAACCACATTACCTAGGGTACTTGGATGAGTATATTTCATTTTAATCAATGGGGTTAACTGGGGGCGCACTCCCCATAGAAAAAAATTTCCCTCTGATTTAAATTAAATTTGAACAAAGGAATGACTCCTATCCAAAATAAAGAAGGGGAAAGCCAGAAGATGGAAATCACATCGGCAATATCATTGAGTAATATTGAAATGCATCATTTTTCTCCACAAATTATAAAAATGATTTAAAATCAATCATCATTTTCTTACAAATAAAATGTGACATGCTGCTAGGCGCATGTAATTCGGTTATATATATATATATATATATATATATATATATATATATAGTACGAGACAAAAAAAAAAAGGTCGCACCCATAGAAAGTTGATTTTTGTATTTTTACCAAGACAAGTGAATAATAAAATTCGGTTATTAATACAGGGTATTAATAAAGGCGTACATATGCAAAAGGTATTATTTCCAAATACATAAAAAAAAACCTTTCGTATCTGGAAAAAATCGACGGGCACGGTTGGCTTGGTGCAAAGCTCCTTTACACTGGACTAAATTTGATTGGAAAGATGTTATATAGAGTGACGAGAGCCCCTTTACTCATAGATATGAAGGACGAATATGTGTTTGGTGTATTCCCGGTGAAAAGAATACTCCACTAACTACCAAGGAAACTGTTAAACACGATAAAAAATCAACGTTTTGGATGCATTCTCAGCAGCAGGATTTGGAAATTTGTACATAAGCAAAGGGAATCATGGGCCAGTATCAATGCCACAACATTCTTTTTAATCAAATGTGACTTTCAAAAAAAAAAAAAAACTTTTTGCCAAAGGTCAACGCTTCACGTTCCAACACAATAACGATTCTAAGCATACTGCCTTAAAGAATAAACGCTATCTACAGAGGAAGCACGACGAGGGTAAATTGCAACTCTTACAGTAGCCTAGTCAGAGTCCTGACCGTAACCCAATTGAAAACCTTTGGGCGATAATGGACAAGCGGGCCCGCAATAACACAGAAGATGAGTTTTTCCACGAATTAAAGAAATGCTGGAAAAAACTGGTGAAGGACGTTGACTTACTAAAGAATTAATTATATAGCACGCCACGCAGAATTAAGGCGGTTATTAAAGCAAAATATTACGTAACAAAATACTAATTCATTTTTTATTTGTATAATATACATATATACACCTGTATCAATATCCTGTATTAACTACCGAATTATATTACTCACTTGTCTTCATAAAAATACAAAAATCGACTTTCTATGGGTTCATGCATGCATGCATTGATTGATTGATTGATTTGCCTCGTACTGTATATATTGGAGGAAGCACGGTGGAGTAATGGATAGCGGCTCGGAGTGAAGAATCGGTTAGCCGAGTTCGAATTCCAGTCGAATTCATTACATTCAAATACGTGCTAATACCCTTGGGAAAGGTATGAATCCTCTTCTTCTCCCAACAGAACAGACCGGGCTCTATAGCCTTGGATGGCAACTGGTCTACCGCAGAAAGAAACAGCAACCTATTGCCTCGTCAATCATGTATGCGTGTATCACGCATGGCATATAACTGACTGGCTGTATATATACATAGATGACTAGATTGAGATAGATGGATAGGTATGAACAAACTGCGCTGGAGAATATATAAAATGAAGGGATAAAATTTATTCATAATTTAATAATAACTAAGATTTGTCTAAATGTGTGAGCCGACTGAAAATGATATATTACAATGCGTGTGCGTGCGTGTGTGTGTGTGTGTGTGTGTGTGCGCGCGCGCATATGTGTGTGTATGTATGTAACAAGCGTCTTATATATAGTTAAGGTGTATGCACTTGAAATAATCCAGTTAACAGCCTGATATTAGTCTGGACAAATTCGCACACAATGGCAGTCCTTAGTTAAAAAGATATTCTGCAGATGTGAGAAGTGCTTTTGTCGTGTTTCACGGATTTGAGAAGCTTGAATTGTCCTGAACCACAATAGGATGGCGACAGAGTGAAGTGAGCCAATCATAGAAAAGCAGACACCTTAGTCTATCAAGAGAACTTTAATTGTTTCGGAAAAGTGAAAAGGCTTTTAGCATTTTGTCACTGCGTGATAAGAGACAGGCGAAATAAAAGAATTAAGGTATTTTGGGGAGGTCTTATTCATTTAAGGTCGTCTGAAATTAACGTAATATTTCTTGGTTTGAGAGACAGAAACGGCGATATATAAGAGGCTTCCATAATGTTCGCGGAATTTGGCCATGAATAAATCACTTTCTCTGAAACAATTTCTACCATTTTGTTCCTTTCCACGTCTTCCTTAGTTTCCACAAAGACATATGTAGGGTACTACTCAAATAGGTAGCGGCAAGGATACGTACTACATTCAGTTCACGCGCACTGTTCAAATTGCAGTTCGTATATATACTCCTATATAATCCAAGTTTCTCAATGATATTCTTCAGTTTCAAACTACATTTAGTTCGTGTTCCAGTAAAATTGTATTCCATTCAGTCCACAATTCAGTACAATTGCGCAACATTCGGTTTACAGTCCAGTACACTTCTACCAAATTCGGTTCGTGGTCCTGTTATATCAAATTCGTTTCGCAGTCCAGTAAACTTATACTGAATTCTGTTCGCGACCCAATACACTTTTACTGAATTCGGTTCGCGGTACTATTTAGTTGCACTAAATTCGGGTCGCAGTCCGGTACAGTTGTACTACACTCGGTTCGCAGTCCAGTACAGATTTCATATATTTGGCTCGCAGTTCAGTAAAGTTGTTCGAAATTAGGTTCGTGATGCAGTGTTTGTGTTGAATTCAGTGCGAGGATCGATACATTTCTGCTGAATTCAATTCATAGACCAGTACAGTTCAGTTCGCTAGCGCTTTTCAAATTTTGCAGATAAAATTAAAAAAAAACCTTAATAAACACGTACGCACATCTATTAAAATATATATATATATATATATATATATATATATATATATATATATATATATATATATATATATATATATATATAATAGGGAAGAGATTATAGTACTTCCAACGAGAGAAAAGTGTGTATATTAAAACGAAGAGAGAAACGGCAAACGTTTTTGGTTGTAATGTGGATTCTTTTAAATACTATATTATACTTTATTTTCTAGACACTAACAGGATTAGATAGATAGATAGATAGATAGATAGATAGATAGATAGATAGATAGATAGATGTTGTTGCCTTACACACTTATTGGTTAATTCTGAACTGTTCGATCTGTTATTAACGGTGAAGCGTCAGATTAAGTACAGAGCGGAGATTAGGTAGAAATAAAAATATTGTTGTGTAAAATAATTTAATTTTCCTCCATTATTGAGATAACAGATAGATAGAAACGGACTGAAAGAACAGGTAACTAGAAACAGATTGAGGTAACAGATAGCTAGAACGGATTGAGAGAACACATCGATACAAACGGATTGAGAGAACAGACAGAAGCAGATTGAGAGAACAGATATATAGAAACAGATTGATATATATATACATATATAGATGAATTCGAATATCCAGTTTTTACTCTAAGACATATGCCTGAAAAACAATGGACATCATTACTTATATTTATTTGCTCCTCTTTCTAACACATATACTAATTATTATATATATATATATATATATATATATATATATATGTCCATGTATTTTTATCTATCTATCTATCTATCTATCTATCTATCTATCTATCTATCTATTTATCTATCTATCTATCTCTCTATATATATATTCCTGAGAAAGTGTAAGTCGTTGAATCCCGTAAATTTCAAATATATGAGGATGTGCGTTGTGAGGTAATGGATATCGACTCGGAGTTCATTTTCGTTAGATTCTCTTGCGCACAATTGTGAATCCATTTCTTTTTCCCAACCCAGCTAATCTGTGTTTGTTAGCCTTGGTTGGCAACCAGCCTACCGAAGAAACAAATGGCAACCTCCTACGGGAAAAATCTGCCTCGTCAGTCATGTATCGAAAAGATCGCCAAAGCGTGTATCCCGTATGGCACTTAACTGATTGGCTAAGGGTGAAGATCCTGAGCTAAGAAACTAAAAAAAAATAAATGGTTGCGGAACAGGTATGTCCTATGTATCCCCCACTATTCAGCAGCAAATTTTGGACAAATTCTTCAGAGATTAAATTGATGATCTGCGCGAGGGATGTTGTTCTCTAGAATAATGTTGAAATAACTTGAACTCAATGTATGAGGAAGTTTTATCAAAGAATGACAATCAGAAAGAGATAGTTGACATTTCGGCGACTTATAATGAGGACAGAGGGCTTGGAAAAAATTAACACTTATGAGACATATTGAGGAATGGAGAGGCAGTGAGGAAAGAGCGAGTAACATACATAATGCGTTTTTGTGAATGGAGGTCAGAGGGTCAAAGTGGGATGGCCAAGAGCCAAACGTTGCTGACAGCTACAAGAGACAGACAGAAACAGATTTAGATAGATAGATAGATAGATAGATAGATAGAAACAGATTGATATATATATATATATAGAGAGAGAGAGATAGATAGATAGATAGATAGATAGATAGATAGATAGATAGATAGATAGATAGATAGAAAAAGATTGAGATCGAGACAGAGTGATATAAAAATAGACAGGTAGAAACAAAGCGGGATAGATAGATAGATAGATAGATAGATAGATAGATAGATAGATAGAAGGAAACAGAGTGAGATAGAGAGAGAGGTACAGAGTAAAATCAATTGACAGATAAATATCGCACTAAGGTGGGAAAAGGCGTATTTATGCAAATAATCATCTTTTTAAAATCTGTTTTTATCTAAATATATGTGTATTATAATACAAAAGAATGATATGTAAATATAAATCAAACTGTTTTAATAGTTTAAGACATACATACCTACATGTATATATCTATGTAGTCCAACAGATAATTCAAAATAAATGTCTTGATAAATCACATATGCTTGTACCTGACACGCGTCTGCTGGGCAAGGGTCAAACAATTAAACCATTGTCAAAACTGAAGCAGATCAACGAAATACAAAAACCCGAATTTAGACCTTTAAATTATCTTTTTTCTTTTACAAGAAACATATTACAAATACACGATAAACGCATGGATGTTTGAATAAAAGTTTTAATGGTAATAATTGTTATTGGGAGCCTTTTTTTTTTTTTTTAATAAGGACATTTTTATTTATTGGGCCGTTCAATGCTTGAAGGCTCCGGTATGTCTGGAAGAAGGTCAAAATGTCGTTTCACTTTTTTGTTGGTCTACGCTAAATCGTCTGAAAGGCATAGATGCATGACCGTGTAATTGACACGCATAGAAATATGAAATAAAAAAAAGAAAAAGAAAAAACGAAAGAGACTCTCAGGTAGCCAAAGAAAATCTTCTTTTATCAATGGACTTTGGTTAATATACCTCACTTCCACTCGGAGTAAACGTTTCATTATTTAGTTGATAGAGTTATTGGTTGTGTGATGGGCACAACATAGATATATAGATAGACATATAAACAGACATACAGATAGATAGACAGACATATAGATAGACAGACACATAGATAGATATACAGACAGACAAACATATAGAGAGACAGAGACACACAGATAAACAGATATATAGACAAACGGACAGACATATGCATAGACAGAAATATAGATAGACAGAGACAGACATAGAGATAAAAAGACAGACATATAGATAGACAGATAGGAAGTGATAGACAGACATATAAACAGACACAAAGATAGATAGACAGACATATAGATAGACAGACACATAGATAGACATATAGAAAGAGACAGACATATACATAGACAGACAGGCATATCGATAGATAGATAGATAGATAGATAGATAGATAGATAGACTGGCATATAGACATTATATATATATATATATATATATATATATATAGAGAGAGAGAGAGAGGAGGGAGAGAGAAAGAGAGAGATAGATAGCTAGATATACATACATATAAATAGATAGACGGACATATAGATAGTTAGACAGACATATAAATAAACATAAAGAGAGATAGACGTATAGATAGACAGACACATAGATATGTAGACAGACAGACATATAGATAGACAGAATGACAAACATATAGACAGGCAAACATATATATATATATATATATATATATATATATATATATAGATAGATAGATAGATAGATAGATAGATAGATAGACATATATGCATGTATATAGATAGATAGACCAGCATATAAACAGACAGATATATAAACAGACAGATTATACCTTTTAGAACCGTAGAAGTTAGATTGATTATTTACAAGAATATTTTTTTATTTACAACATTCTAAAAACTGATACAATTATGACTAAAGCAATAAAATAATAATAAAATAAATTATAAAGAAATAAATATGAAAATAATTTTATTCATAAATTTATAAACATTTATAAAATTATTAAAATATCTGAACCAACTATAGGGAAATCCTTATTATGTACCATTTTATAAACTTTGAATCAATTGGCAATTAGTCAATGTTTTGCCAACCTTTCCAGTAAATAATATAATAAATAAATAGTGTAAATAAACAATCTAATAAATAAATAGTATTTATTATTTATATTGCAAATTCTCAAGAACAAAGAAAATGTATAAATTCACTTCTGTTTAGGGTTTCTTACAATTCTAATAATCGCTTTTTAAAACAAATGGAGGAGTCATAGTGTATACAATAATAGCGGTGTTAAGGGAATAACCGTCTTTTTGACGCACTATTTCTCGCAGGCACGAACGTTAAACATTGCCCAAAGATCAATGAAGCAGTTATTGGTAGAGTTTCAATTTTAATCACTCATAGAATATAGCACTTCAATAGCTGATAAAATATATCGTATAGAAACAGTAAAACAATTTACAAACGCATACGCGCGCGCGCGCGTGTGTGTAAAGCGTTTCAGAGTGCACAGATACTACACTTTGATCACAAGAAGATAGCGCAAGGTGCGGCAGAAATACTTCCCACATAATGGTAAAATATTATCTAGAAGAAAACGCCATTGCCATTAATGTATTGCCGTTATGTTGGAGGTATTTCTGGAGGTATTGCTTATGATGGATGCGGAAGAAATAAATCCTATCTAATGGTAAGATATTAGCTAGAGGAAGACACCATTGCTACTAATGTCTTACCATTATGTGGGAGGTATTTCTGCTGCACCCTGTATAACGAATGTAATTAGAAAATTACTTAAATATTTCTACCAGTTTTACTGTACATGAAGATAGTAAAAAAAAAAGAGGTGTCATTGGAAAACTGTCCTCGTGGCACTTCGTCTTACTGCGGGCACGTTTATCCATGTTTGCCCAAATATATTTAATGAGAACAAGTATTAATAATAACTTGTGTGTGTATCAGTTTTTATTATGCAAACTTTACCTTCTCAATGTCCTCGTCTTGGTCGCATATTTCAATGAAGGATACAACCTCTAGCGTCGGCATTATCGATACATTAATCACAGTTTTCATAGACTTCTCCGCTTAATGTAAACATTTCTGTTTGTGATTTTTACTTTCCGCCAGTGTTCTTAATATTCTGTATCTTTTCTATCTACATCTACCTTCACAATATCATTTGTGCTTTGTGCTAGCATTTTATTAACCCTAGAACACTAACCATGGGTATATAGTACCCAACGCAAATTTTCCTATTTTTAATTACAATTTTCAGTACCTGATTTTCTTACCTAAATAATATGTTTTCCAATTCCTATTAATGTTAACTCAAAGTACAAAGTTTGAAGTGCCTGCATGTAAAATATTTCAAATAATGATTTATATTTAATATTTTTTTGATATTTTCAAAATCGGGAATGATATATCCATGGTTAGTAGTGGTTTAACTTTAATTGATGGTTAGTGTTCTTGGGTTAAGTAAAATTATAACGCTTTCAAAGTTGAAGATGGCGCCAAGATAAACACAGAAAATTACTATAAGTTCTTGGACAAGATAATTAGCTTGTTAGAAATCCTTCTCCGTAGTTCCTGTCTTTAAAAACTCTGGTGAACCTTCTGATCCCTTGAATAATCGCCCAGTTAGTCTTTTATTTATTTCTAGGTCCTGTACTAGAGGCTCTAATCAACTCCTAAATGATTAAGCATCTCACTTCACACAGTCTTCTTTCGGATAAACAATATGGCTTTCGTTCAACCGCCGATATGTTAAAGGCTATTACTGAATTTGCCTGTCAGGCTTTAGATAAGAACGGCAATGTTCGGGCTGTGGCTTCAAATATCTCGTAGGCGTATGACAGGGTTTGGCATGCTGGTCTTCCCCACAAGCTCAAAGGCTAAGGTGGCGAATATTTGACTTAATTCAATCGTTCCTAACAAATCGTGTAATGAGAGTGCTGAACAGACACGCCTCTAGATCATTTCACATTAATGTAGGGGTCCCTCGGGGCTCTATCCTAGGACCTACGCTGTTTCTTATCTTTATTAACGACCTTTCCGATATCATCAGTTCTTAATCAAATATTTATACTGATGACAACTATTTACACCTGTCATAATAGTAATTCTAATAGGCCCGACAAATAAAACTGGCAGTTGCTCTCGAAAATAACCTCCAATCAGTTATTGTTTAATCACCATAGAGAACCCTTTCTGCTTTTCATCAGTATGGTGGATACTAACCTCCAGGCGAGCAACTCACCACGCCTTCTTGGTCTCACGTTTTGCACTTACTTGAACTGGGGGTGATTATATTGAATCAACTGCTAAGTCTATTGCTAAAGTTAATTCACTGTGTCGTGCCAGATATTTTTACCCGCCAGAATCCATTTTGCACATTTATAATTCTGCCATTTTTCTGTGTACTGAATACTGATGCCATATCTTAGCTGGTGCTCTAGCTATCTCGAGATTAAATAATCTAAAGAATGGTCTGTAATGTTATCCGTCCTGACTGGTCATCTTGACTTCAGTCTCTTTCCCATCGTTGTGACGTGACTTACAGTACTGTTCGATAAAAGTGACTCACCTGATTTTTTTTACTAAATGTTCTCTTCTCCGATGAAAAAAAGTTGAGCTAAATTTAAAGGATAAGCGATCTAAAATCTGAAGAAGAAGCTTTGAAAGCTCTTTGAATTTAGCAATAAGTACTGTCAAGTATCCGTTCAGTATAATGTTCTGGGGATGCTTTTCTTTTCATGGAACTGGTTTCTTAAAACCTATTGAAAAGACCCTCAGGAGCGAGCAGTACAAGATAATTTTAGAGTCTTATCTGCTCCCTTCTGCTGAAAGGGTCACAAATCGACCCTATCAAGCTCATTTTTATGCAGGATAATGCTCCCTGTCACAAATCAAAATTGATGAAGGAATACTTTGATGAGAAGCAGGTGAGTGTTATGACATGGTCGCCCCAATCTCCTGACCTCAACCACATAGAAAACTTATGGAGCATGTTGCTCAACTGCTTTCTCGAGAGCCTGTACTTTATATTTACTCTATAAGTTTTCTATGTGGAATACTGCCAGACGCTCCAGGTTTTAATCCAACAGAAAATCTGTGGTCCATCCTCGAAATAGATGTTTATGCAAATAGAAAAAATATTCATGCAAAGAAAATTTCCTTACGCAAAAAACTGGTGCTGGTCATGTTAAATTTACAGCCGTCGAAAGGAAAATCAATGAGTAAAAACTGATAAAGGATGCCAGAACCCTTATTAATATTTAAATATTACGATGTGAAATATGAAAATAATTTATAATATATTTCTTTTTTAAATTTTCAAAAATTTGCTAAAATAGGTTAAATGATGAAACAATGCACAAAACAATAAAAATATAATTTTTTCGTCAAAGTTTTTCTGTCATTATTAGGAGGAAAGATTAAGGAATGTTTTTTATGTATAAATATTTTTGTATTCTTCATAGAATTCTGGAAATATTGGTTAAAAATCTTTTTTTGGCGTCCAAGTGAGAAATTGAATTTGTACTGGAAAAATTATTTTTTATTGAATTTTACATGTTTTTTTTAGAAATTTAATTACAATAATTTATAAACTTTTAATCTTTTAAAATTCTTTATTAATTTGTGGTGGCCAAGTAATATTGTTATTAAATTATAACTGTGTTTATTAATGGTAAATGGAAACGCTCACTACACTTCAACGAGTCCCAGTGCTTAAAAAAAATTGAATTTTCTTTGTGCGTGCGTGTTTGGATAAACGTGTTGAGTATTGTAAATATATCTTATTCTGTACGCTTCTTCAATATCGGTATCACCAAAAATTAGCTAAAAAACGAAGGGTACATGAAGAAAAAATTCCCAACATATGATAAAAATGAATTTTATCGTCAAGATCTTCGTCTCATTATTAAGAGGAAAGTTCAAAGGATTTATGCAATTTCTTATATTCTTTATAGAACACTGGAAATTTTATTTAAAAATCTTTTTTTACGCCAAAATACGACAAATATTTTTAAATTGTTTCAAAAATCAAATAATTGTTGTATTTTAATGAAACATTCGTGGCTTATTTACAAATGAATTCAATTATTTTTTAAACTTTTCCTTTTTAACAAAAATTTTTCAGAAAATTACTTCCTAAGACGCTTGTTGAAAAATTACCATATTGGTATAGATACATCCCTTTTTATTTTGATAATGTGGTATATGGACACCCGTATCTACAAAAATCGACACATTTATACACACATAAAAAATAGAAAATTCTCTTAAATATTTTACTATTAAAGAGAAAGAAAAATTTCAGTCGAACCAAATTCGGTTAGAAATACACCAAAATATTTTGCTTATAGTGAATATTAAATTTAATCTATTAGTTTGGAATTAAACTAAAATAAAAGTTTCAAGGTAGACTTTTCATTCAAAATGATTTTTAAATGTAGGTATTGCTTCTTTTTTTATGATCAGCTGTGATGATGATGATAATGCTCAAACCGATAAGATCAGATGAAAGAAACTAAATAAGATGTCAGTGAGTAAAAAAAAAAAATGTCGTAAAAGGCAAAAGAATTGTAAAAGAATCTAAAGCAACAAAAATGACAACTTTCTGCATTCATGTTCGGCCCACGCTTATTGACATCGACCAACTCCAAGCGAAATATCTGTAATAATCTCTTACCCAAATCTGAATACACATTGCAATAGCAAAAGATGCCTTCAAAAGTTAAGCAAAATATTAAGAAATGGAAAAATTTCATTAGAAACAAAGAAAAGTGCACTGAAATATTATGTAATGACGGTCCTCCAATATGGCAGTGAATACTGGACAATCCCCTCGCAGATGATGAAGAGACTCGCAGCAATAGAAGTGCAGTTCTACAGAAGGATGCTGAGAATACCATGAATCGAACATGTAAGCCTTCGAGAAAAATGAGAACAAAAAGGACACATACTTAACATCAGAAAAAGAAAGTTGAAATTTCTATGGCACATAATGAGGAAAGAAGGCTTAGAAAATTTAACACTTACAAGACATATTGAAGGCAAGATGGACAGAGGAAAGCAGTGAATAACCTACCTAACGAGGTAAATGGTTGTTAAAACAGAGATTATGAGAGACAGCAAGAAAAAAAAGTTGCTTAGAGCTATAATGGACAGGAAGTTATGGAGAACTATGATCGATCATGTCCTGAATGGACACGGCACATAGAAGACGAATAACATGGACTCTTAATTGCATGGATAACTGTAAATCCACTTACCAATATGGCACCCCGATTCAGTGCCAGAGAACCCCTGTTGCTAGCCTCCTCCAATAGATTTGCCTGCTGTTCGAGATACAAAGGCGTGTCCTTGATCTATTTTCTCTGGAAAAAAAAAAAAAAAAAGAAAAACTCATATCTAACAATCCCACCAAACACACTTTCGCCTCGAAGATTTTGTACCCTCCTCCGGCATCTTGAAAACTTGCTATTCACTTTTTTTTTATATACTAAATCGAAAACCTATTCCACTTAAGTAATAGGCTAACAATGAACGACCGTCCCTAATCACATTGGCTGTTGAAACACATCAATGCTTCGGTGTCTACAAAAGATTTAATACCATCCCGCGTTGATAAGCAAATAATTAGGATTTGGTGGGCGCAGCGTTCTGAGGGAACATTAAGATGCAGTCGACTGGGACCTGGCCGAGGTTAATTCGTAGTTCACCCCGACTTGTTACTGATCAGGTAATCAAAAGCGAGTGGGGAGTCTTAGTTGACGGCAAGGCGCCGCTCTGTCTCAGCAACAAATATAGAGCTCCTCCTCTCAAATTAATTGGCAAAATACTGAAGAATAGACCCGTTTTTCCCTCCATTCGCCTGCGGGATTTCTTCTTCTTTGCTTCCACTTTTATCTTTTTTGATCTCTAGCCCAAGATGTAAGCTACGTATCGGGAACGTCAAAATCAGGCAGGTAGAGAAAATCAACTATTTCGCTAGGGTAGTATAAAACGAGGCATAGTGTGATACAAAAATCCAGTGGCGCATAGGAAGAGTGGAAGATGTCTCCTAGAAACTAAGCAAAGGTATTAAGACATAAGAAACTATTGGCAGAAATAAAGAAAATAGTGCTGCACTACTATGAAATATCAATGCTCTTATATAGCAGTGAATGCTACACGATTTCCTGGTAGATGAAGAAATTTAAGGCCGCAGAGATGTGGTTCCACCGAAAAATGCTAAGATAGACAGAACATATGAATAACGGGGAAGTCTTAAGGAAAATAAAAACAATAAGAAAATTTATGCTAACAGTCATAAAAAGACAGTTGATATTTCTGAGGCATATAATGAGAAAAGAAGTCCTAGAGAATTTAACACTCACAGGATCTAGTAAAGGCAAAAGAAGGTTTGTATTGATGGATGGCTAAACGAGGACAAAGAAAAAAAGGGATAGTAAATGGTCAAAAGTTGCTTAGAGCAATAAAAGATAGGAAGCTGTGGAGAGCCATATTTTCCCATGTCCTGAAATGACTTGGTGTATAAAAGAAGAATCTGTCGACACTAAATTGTTGAAAGCCTCGATGTTACGTTTATTCTTCCACGTGTCGTCGTCGTCTGAGGGTCGGACGTATTCGATGTATGTACCGCCTTTCCTTTCAATGTTGACGTGCTTGGCTTCCGGGTACGGTCCAGCCCACAATGCGATCTCGAGTGAAGTGGGAGGACTCAATCCGATACACTTTCCTCTTGTAAATCCGCACAATAAATCTGGAGCAATTATTTTATACCATGACCGATTATTCAGAGTGTATTCGGTTCAACTTTTTTTTCTCACATCCGTTCAGAGGTCTTTCCTCGTTATTTTCTCTGAACAATTTCCCTGGATATTTTTGAAATGTCACTTCATATCTTGATAAAATAAATGATAAAAATAAAAACCTTTTCTGTCATATTAACGCCACCCACCACCACCACCATGGAAGATATCATCATCACTATCGCACATATATTTCTCTTCTATTAGAAGCACCTTATTGAAAATATAATCATCACTATCACACATATATTTATCTTTTATTAGACGCACCCACATATATTTCTGCAATTACAGACAGAATAGGGATATTACCCGCATATAAATTCGACGAGTCAAATAGTTTTACTATTAAATTTAAGTCCATTCCGCTTGAAGTGGGTAGGGAGATTTGCCTTCTTTAAAATTGGGGGAGTAATGTAAAAATTAAAAAGTACCTAATTAGTAATCTAAAAATAAGATCTAAGTTTAAAAAAAATACTTCCAGGCTCTTACAATATATCACCATTCTTGGTAGGTTTTATATTGTCACAGTGTGGGATAATCGCGAACAAAGGTGGTGGAGAGATAAAGAAAAGAAAAAGAATACAGATGATTTCGGCGAGATTGAGAGAGAAAAACTTCTTTCAAAAATATTCTTTCAATAGATTTTGAAATTACCTGCGTCTCTCGTTTCGTGCGCATGTGTAAACGTAGCAGCGTTCTCATAGCCCAGTCCGATGAAATCTTAACGGATGAAACGCGTTACAAAAAAACCTTTCCAGTTTGTCATTATATATATATATATATATATATATATATATATTAAGAAATGGACAAAGTCCGACAATTTATTTATTAAAGACATTTTTTATGTTTAACGTTCTTTTTTATAGATACAAGTATTTAAGTAAATGCTCTGTTTATAATAAACAGTATTAAATAACATTTACCGGCCTGAATGTCCGAGAAATTTTCATAGAAAATATTCGTCCTTTGACAGGATTCGAACCTGCATCCTATACGGAACCGTCATTTACGCTGGCCGAGTCGGTTAAGGCACGTCAGCGTATTAAAAACAGAGCATTTACTTAAATACTTGTATCTATAAAAAAGAACGTTAAACATAAAAATGTCTTTAATATATATATATATATATATAGAGAGAGAGAGAGAGATAGACAGACAGATAGATATTCTTCATTTCCTTAAAAATACTTTCAGACAAGTGCTCACATGATAGACTTTGAATACAACCATTATTTGCCCTATTTAGCCTCATTTTAGGACACGGGACACTTTTTAAAATTGTGCCAAAGACTTTTCTTTTTTGTCTGGGTCATATTTTCAGTATTTGCTCACTTTTGGGGTGTGCCAAAAAATCTTACATCTCACCATTTAAACTAATATAATAATTACAAAAATGCATGAATTTATCTTAATTTCTTCATTGACAGGTACATCCAATAGAAACAATACAAAAATAGCTTTTATGGCCGTCTGTCTTTCTTCAAAATTATATTTCATAACAGTTTGCCTTGACCTTTTAGCCAACAGTAAAAAAAGCATATTTTTCTACCGTTCACTTCGAATAGTCAAAGCGTAAAGTCCACCAGTACGAAAGGCGAATAAAATTCTGTGTCACTTAAGGACGTTGCAATCATGGCTCTTCACAACTTCCTGCCCGTTGTTCTCAGCTGATATTAAGTCTATTCTTAGTAATATTATTTCCGTGTGAATTTCTGGGAGTTTACAATATTTACATTTTTCTTTTACAATATTTATTGTCCTGATCGTTGCTGTTATCTCAACATTTCGGCCGTTGTGCTCTCCAGCCTTCTACTGGACAATAACCCAGTTGGTTCATGAATTTTGTGACATAGTAATCGTGAGTTCAATACCTGGGCCGGGTAATATGTACTTGGACTCAGTGAAAACAAGGCGAGCAACACTGAAATCACTGAGCAGTACTAAAAGAGATATCGCTAGGTATGTATTTTTGTTTTGTTTTTAACAACACAATAATATATATAAATCAAAAATATAAATTTACTCATATAATATTAATAAACAAGATTAATAAAAATAATTCAGATTAGAAAGAAAGAAAGTAAGAAAGAAAGAAAGAAAGAAAGAAAAAAAGAAAGGAGGAAAGAAAGAAAGAAAGAAAAGAAAGGAGGAAAGAAAAGAAAGGACGAAAGAAAGAAAAGAAAGAAAGAAAAGAAAGGAAGAAAGAAAGAAAGAAAAGAAAGGAGGAAAGAAAGAAAGAAAAGAAAGGAGGAAAGAAAGAAAGAAAGAAAAGAAAGGAGGAAAGAAAGAAAAGAAAGAAAAAAAGAAAAAACAAAAGAAATAAAAAAAAGAAAGGAGGAAAGAAAGAAAGAAAGAAAAGAAAGGAGGAAAGAAAAGAAAGAAAGAAAAGAAAGGAGGAAAGAAAGAAAAGAAAGAAAGAAAAGAAAGGAGGAAAGAAAGAAAGAAAAGAAAGGAGGAAAGAAAGAAAAGAAAGGAGGAAAGAAAGAAAAGAAAGAAAGAAAAGAAAGGTGGAAAGAAAGAAAAGAAAGAAAAAAAGAAAGGAGGAAAGAAAGAAAGAAAAGAAAGGAGGAAAGAAAGAAAAGAAAGAAAGAAAAGAAAGGAGGAAAGAAAGAAAAGAAAAGAAAGGAGGAAAGAAAGAAAGAATAGAAAGAAAGAAAAGACAGAAATAAAGGAAGAAAGAAAGAAAGAAAGAAAGGAGGAAAGAAAGAAAGGAGGAAAGAAAGAAAGAATAGAAATAAAGAAAAGACAGAAATAAAGGAGGAAAGAAAGAAAGAAAGAAAGAAAGAAAGAAAGAAAAGAGTCGAGATTATATAAAATCATGATATCGCAGATTCTCTCTGACGACTGACACTTCCGTTCTTTTGTTTCAACAATGATTATCGAATCCGGTTCCGTTTGTATACAAAAAACCGACACAATAATAGCATAGTTCTTATAATTTTTAATATATAATCAAAGTAACTGGATATGAATGCGCTGGTAGCGTAACGTTTATCCGCGCGGAAAGTGAAATCTGTTACTGAGTTTCAATTTAAGCCCTCTTTGTTGCGTACCATTTCCAGAAGACAGACATGAACCAATCCGTTCTCCCCCAAAGCTGAGGGTTAAACAGTAGGGTAGACTAAATTCGTTAGTTTTGAGCAGCAGATAGTGTAGAAAGAGGAAAAGTCTTGAATTCGAAACCGTACAAAAGTCAAGTGGAAACCGCTCTATCGTTTCCTTAAATCATGGCAATTCCCAGATAATAAAAAAAAGAAGTCTCTGGAGAGTCATAATAACTTATGTCCTGAAGAGACATAACATTGAAATAATATTTTAGATCAGAACATCTTTAGAAATTACTAAAAATAAAAATGTAAAAAAAGTGCTAATAAATTCCTACTTATTTCTTTAAAATAATCTCGTCGATAGGATTTGAATTTAGCTTCGATGCATCGTCAATGTACCCATTTCCATAGCACTGTCTAAGAAGCCACGTGCAAACGAATGTGAATTCCATTGGATAATCAGCCTAGTGAGCCATATCAGTCAGTTTTGTGCCATGCGTGATACACTCTTATGCAATCATGTATCTTTCGATACATGACTAACGAGGCAGATTTTTATCCAGCAGTAAGTAGGTTGCCATTTCTTTCTGCGGTAGACCAGTTGCCATCCAAGGCTATAGAACCCGGTCTGCCCTGCTATTTATCCACAGGCCTGGCGGAGAAGAAGAGGATTCATACCTTTCCCAAGGGTATTAGCACGTAAGTGAAAGTAATGGATTCGACTGGAATTCGAACTCGCTATCTTTTACTCAAACGTGCCACCGTGAGCCATATAACAAACCTTATCATTCGAATTCTGAGGAATAGAAAGTGAAGTAGACCGGAATAGGACAAGAAGAGTGTGGGTTCGTTAAAGACACTGGAACAAGGAATGTGATATTTATACTTAGAATTATATCCGATAAAACCAATATAAAGGCAGAAGGAGGTGTATTTGTGTTTTATAGATTATGCAAAAGCATTTGACAGAATACGTTACAAAGAACTGTTGGAATTGCTAGGTAACCAGGGAATATTTGAGAAAGATATTAGAATAATCCAAGAGCAATACTGACAGCAAACCTTCTACAAATAAGACAAGGACGTGTCTTCTCGCCAGACTTATTCAACATATCCAGTGAGGCGATTCTGAGAAAATTAGAAGTCCTGTTAAGATTCGTTACTGGTGGTCACAATCTTAACAGCATAAGCTATGCAGATGACACAATGTTGATATCAGACACAGAAAGAATCCTTATAAAAGTTAGTAAAGGAAAGCGAGAAAAAAGAAAATAAACAATAACTGCAAGAAAACAATGCATGGTTGTTATCAAATGAACAGCCCAACATGCAAATTATAAATTGAAGATACCGAAATCAATCAAATAAAACAATTTAAATATCTGGGAAATGTTTCAACAGAGGACGGAAAATGCAAAATTGGAATCCGAAGGCGTCTTGAGATAGCGAAAGATGTCATCTAAAAGCTAAACAGAGTATTAAGAAACATGAAAATTTCATTAGAAACAAAGAAGACGAGTACCGAACTGTTATGTAATATCAGTCCTACTATATGGCAGTTAATGCTGGACAATCTCCTCAAAGAAAAGACTTTAAGCAGCAGAAATGTGGTTCTACAGAAGGATGCTGAGAACACCATGAACAGAACATGTGAGCAACGACGAAGTTCTAGAGACAATGGAAACAAAAAGAACACATACTTAACATCAGGAAGATGACATTTCTAGGGCACATAATGAGGAAAGAGGGCTTGGAAAATTTGATACTCACAGGACAGATTTAAGGCAAGAGGGACAGAGGAAAACAGCGCATAAATTACCTAACGAGCTTGAGTGAATGGATTGGTGAAGGGTTTAGGAGATATTGCAAAAAGACTAAATTTATTGAGAGCTACAAATGGCGGGAAATTGTGAAAAGCCACGATCGCCAATGTCTTGAAGAGACACGACACATAGAAGAAGAGTTACATTGAGTGGAGGCTTTCCTTAATACACATTTTTCTTGTTTAGTCAGATTGAATTTCATCAACGTTTTTTTTTTTATAGTTTGTCTCCACTTAATTCAGTAAATATTGTTGATTCTTGGCGCGAAAGAAAGAAAGAAATGAAAAAAGGAAAGAAAGAAACGGAAACTCAGTCAAGAGAAGACATACAAAAAAAGAAAGAAAGAAAGAAAGAAAGAAAGAAAGAAAGAAAGAAAGAAAGAAAGAAATAGAAGACTAGTAAAGAGAAAAAGATACGAAAGGCGGAAATAGAAGAAAGAAAGACAAATGGGATAATAGGAAATAGGTGGGGGAGGTTGAAGGAAAGAAAAGATTTCTCTGACATCCAAACAGACACTCCTTCCATATTGTGAAGGTAAATCAAGTATGGGACATTTACTAGATTATGGGGCGTTTAATTACTGGCTAAAAGAAGGCTCACGCCTGACCTGTTTATATGACAAGCAATTGGAAACTAAGTTTTATCTAGTTTAACTACCGTAATTTCCGGTGCATAAGACGCACTTTTTACTTCCAAATTTCATATCAAAATCTGCTAGCGTCTTATACACCGAAGCTATGAATCAAAGGGATAAGCGCAATTTATTAGAAAAAAGGCAAGATTTCGAAAATAAATCCTACAAATAGGCTATTGATCAGAAAAGGCAATGACCGTTTCTACAAATATGATTTTTAAAGTTAGGAGAATTCTATGGGATAATAGTTCAGGATATTTTACTGGTCGTCCATTGTCTTGCTATCTGTTCATGGAAAGCAAAGGCTTAATTATAAGAACCTACACTGGACGGAGGATAAGACAGACGATTGATCAGGAGTGCATGTGGGCAAAGAATTCGTCGTTAAAAATAAGAAGGGATATAGTGATTAAGTCATTTAAGAAATATTGTGTCAGTAACGATGGGATCAAGGATGACATTCTCTTTTATCATAATACTGGATCCAGTGATAAAATATCTGAGTCCTCAAACGAAGCAATGAAGATTTTGTAGGTTTTCAACTAAACTAAATAAGTCAACCTACATTTTTTCTTTTATTACAGTTTTGTTTTGAGCTTTTTGTATTTAGAACTATATATACTAATTTAAATTTTGTGTTTAGAAACATATACACTAATTTAAATTTGGTGCTTAGAACTATATTTACTAATTGTTTTTTTTTAATTAATAAAACATCTTACAAATACGATTGTAGCTTTATTTTTCTCCAAAAATTTTTCTTCAAAATAAGGGTGCGTCTTATAGATTGGATTGTTTCCAAAACGCTAAATGAAATTTGCAAAGGCTTCTCATAATCTTTTTTTTAAAATATGGAATATATCATATGTTGCCCTTGTAATCACATAAAGATCGACTAAGTTAATGTATTTTTATGATCAGATTTTTAGGCAAAAATTAGGGGGTCGCACTATACACAGGCATTTTTTTTTTTTTTTTTTTTTTTGCAAAATTTAAAAATCATGCAACTTCGTTGATTGGTTGCAGTATAATTTCTTTTCTGGTGGGGTTAAAATTCATGCAAAAAACTTCAAGGATCGGACTATATATGAAGCCTGCTTATACGCACGTATGAACGGTAAATATCTTGATACAAATTTAAAACTATATATATATATATATAAAGGCTATTACAAGTCTGAAGACGTTCCTTTTCAAAACGACACGTATCACTAATGATATTTTTTCTATTTTGTCATTCAGTTAACCATAAATAACAATACAAATTTACCACCGAACCATTGTATTTTCCAATGCGACGGCTGGCTCATTTGTTCCGCAAGTTGGATCTAGACAGATTGCCAACCAAGGCTAGAGAGCCGATGTATTTTGGGGAATATTTTTTACCCTCTATTCGTTAGAGTTGGATGTTCGTGTAGTATAATACACAGCGGCTCGGGATGAGAAATCAGAGAGAGGAGTATCGAATTTCACGCGGATTCATTGCATTCACTTCCGCGCAAATACCCTTGAGAAAGGTATGAATTCAATTCCTCCCCCAGTTACGGGTTAAGCAGTAGATCTTTTATCTGGGAAAATAATTGTTATTCTAGTCGGGTTCATTATACTCACTGACGCGTAAATAGCTTTGGAAAAGATATGAAATTGTTACCTTCACCCCAGCTATGGGTTAAATAGTAAGATTTGTATCTGGAAAAATCGTTGTTATTGTCAAAAAATTGTTAATGAAATATTAATTCACAATTAAAAAAAAAGTAATTCTTCTTACAATCCCAAATATGTTTTGTTTTTAAATGACCCAGAAAGGGTTGATAAAACGTAAAAAAATCAATCAATCAACGATTTACTAGTTTCCAGCATCTGATGTAAAGTTGACTCTGTTTTAGCTTGATTAAACTTTTTGTTAGGTGTTTGTGATAATTTTTATATTCAGTTTAGCGAAATTTATTTCAATTCATTAGTTATAGTGTTTATAGGTCGGTGAAAAATCACAAAATTCAAAGCAAGGAATATAATAAGATAAAAAGGACTTCAAATTTCAAAACATCCCCAGTGAATTTGTATGAGACTGGAACATTCGTGATTGTAAGTTTAACTTGGAAAAATTTTGTATGAATAAAAATGAATATAATTTACTCAGACGTAGCTCCACTTAAAATGCCATAACCTATGAAATACCATAGGATTAATGTACGAATTGGCTGTTTCAGTTGATTGCTCATTATTACGAAATTAATACGATCGGGCTGTTTTGGTTCATCGCCTATTATTACGAAATTATTACGACACGGCTATTTCAGTTGATCGCCTATTCGT